TCTCCATTCTTCTGTTCTCTCTTCTTCTAGCTTCATGTCTGAGAGGGAGACTTTGCTGCTCACATGTTTATAGTTCTACTTCCTAGTTCCGCCTTACTTCCAGAGCATGACCCTCTGACTCTGTTTTACTTCTTACTGGTTTAATTTGGGGTTAATTTCTCTACCTCCCTGTCCGGCCTTGCTCCCACACAGCATGTAGTCTGTTACTTGGCCCTGCTTCCTGTGTGCCCAATACCCTCGTGTGTGCCCGTGGCCCTCAAATGCTTATGGCGTCCTCAGTGCAGACACTGCCTGGCTCCTCCACAGACCCCTGCTGACCTCAGACAGAGGGAGACCGACCCGCGCTCTGCCTGCTCCGCCTCTTCCCTGCGGTCTCTACCTGCTTGGGAGGCTGGGTGGGGCACACGGCCCGCTGGGGACCCACTTCCCGTCCTCGTGGAAGGAAGCTGTGTTTACACCTGGGCCTGTGAAGACCTCCGAGTGCTCCGGGCCACCTTGGTCCTGACCTGGACCGCCCTTGCCATCTGCCCGGCTGCAGAGGGTCCCTGTGAACTGCATGTGCTCCACAGCGGAGACCCCTGGAGCTGACAGACCACCGCCCAGCGTCCACAGCTGCAGGGCCGCCTGCTAGACTGGCCCCACAGACCCAACCAGAGCCCGGCTGCCATTAAGACCCCTCCAGAACACGCTCCCGACTCTGAAGGGCGTCCTCACCCGGAGCCCGAGCACCGGCCACAGGACTGTGTCTTCACAGGGAACTTTTGGCCCCACAGCACCCACGATTCCACCGGAGACTGCCTGGGCTCCGTGAGGAACGTCCACATTACTCGTACAAGTCCTAAAGGCCCGGCCACAAGCCAACACACCCGTCTATCCATCAGCCGCTCCTCACCCCTCCTGCCCATCCGTCGGGCACAAAGGCCGCCGCAGCTTCACCCACGACCCACCAGCGTCCCCCATAAAGGAAGTGTGGGTGTCCCCAGCCCCCAGCTTCCCCCACGGAATGCCCAGCTGAGGCCCCGAGGTCCATCCCCAAACATACACAGATCAGTTAGAGTAACAGACCAATTTGCACACACAGCCATCCATAGCCTCCTTCTAGGGACTCTCCAGCTGCGTGCTGCCCTCTGCCCTCCTTCTGGGTATGTACAAAACATCCTTAATTCTCATGCTACTCCCCGGCCCGTCCTGTGAGGTTCATCTCCAGGTCTGGGGCTACGGCACTGGATTTCAGGTGTTCCCTCCACACCGACCCTCACGTTTATGTTCACAGTCCTCCTCCCTCCAATCGCTGACTGCCGCCCCCTGGGGGCCCCGCCCACTGCCTGCCACGGGGCCGGTGTGCCTGGCGGCCCCTGCTCTGCCCCCAGACCCCCCCCCAGCCAGGACATGGAAGACAGCGTGGGTGGGCTCGGGGAAGCCGAGGCGGCCACGCCAGGCCAGGGTCCCCTGCTGGGGGCGGGAGCGGGTCTCCCGTTGGGCGGAGGTCCCGGCCCGCCTAAGCTGGGCTGATGGCGCCCCCTGATGGCAGAAGGGCAAGCAGGGGCGGCCGGCAGCTGTAGGGAAAGCCTTGGGTGGGAAGGGAGTTTGAATCTAGTTCAGGAGCAAGAGTTCCAGCCCTGATTTGCCATCCCGAGCCTCATGGCCTCCAGAAATACTGCTTTGCTTTTCCCCCTAAGCCCAGCCGACTCACTAGATCCATCACCTGCTTATTCACGCAAAAGAACCTGCTGGCGCTTCTCAAGCAGGCAGGACCAGTAACTGCTGGGGGGGGGGGGCTAGCCACGCTGGCTTCTCCATGCCAAAGGAGGCCGGTGGCCAGGGGTTCTCTGGGGTGGAGGAGGAGGAACTGGACAGCCAGCCACAGAAGCCCTGTGACTCTGATCTAACCTCGCAGGACTTCAGCTAACAGTGGACGAAGTAGGACAGAGCCTTGGTCAAGGTGGAGACCCAAGGCTGAGCTCGTTCCCTGAGCTTGGCCGCTTGGGGGCGCCATGGGGAGAAGGGACACTGTGAGGGAGACCGAGGCAGGGGGCAGCGATGGGGCAGGGAACACAGTCCCGCCCGGGTCTCAGGGAGCTCCTGGCATCTCTCTTTCCGTGACCCTGATTTGCCCCCAGCCAGCCAGGCCTCACTGTATTGGGGTACAGCCCCCCCAAAATAACAAGCTCCAATGCCCAGTGCCTCATGGCTGCATAGAAGCGGTTTTAATTCGGGACACACGGTGTCCTGGGGCCCCGCACAGGTGGGGTGTGTGTGAGCCAGGGACCCACAACACTAGACTCTGCAGTCTCCATGACGCTCCCTCCCCCGGGAGAGCAGGTGCGCCCTTGGTCCTCAGTGCGAAGCGGCTGGCGGTGGGTGTGGGTGGCTTGGCACAGTCCATGGCTGCCGTGGGTCAGGAGGAGAGGGCGGGCGCCACGGCTGCTGCCCTGGGTCAGGAGGAGAGGGCCGGCGCCTCGGCCAGCGGGCGGGCCATGCTCTGGATGGCCCACTGCAGGATCCCATCGAACGAGTGCTACAGGACAGAGAGCGGCAGCTGCTGGGGCCCCGATGGCCAGGGATGGAGCCAGGGCCGGTGCCCACCGCCCTCAGCCACAGGACCCGTGAGGTCACTCCAACAGAGGCGGAGACGTCGGAGACGAGGGCCGGCCCGCAGACATGCCTGGGGCGGGGGCTCCGCGTCCGCTGCCCTCCAAGCCTCCCGTGACCCTCAGCCCTCGGCCGCTCCTTTCATGGGGTGAGGCCGGGCTGTCCTTCCTCTTCCTGATCAGACTCCAGCGCCCCCATGTGGCCTTCATCCCCCAACACCCGCCCCACCCATGCCAGGGGGCTTTCCCCACTGCCGGGACCCCGCCACGCTTGCAGGCCTGTGCCCCCCACCCCAGCCCGCGGCACCCCCCCACCCCAGCCCGCGGCACCCCACCCCCACCACCCCGCAGCACCCCTCCTGGAAGAGCAGCCCCGGGCTGGGGAAAGGCGCGGACCCCAGGGCTGGCAGGGGGGAACGTGACGCGCTGGCCGGCAGTGGCCGTTACCTCACTCAGGAGAGACTCCAGGTCATCCCTGGGCAGCACGGGCTCCTGACCGTGGCCAGTAGCGTCGTCCCCAGCCTGGAAGCCAGAGGAGCATGCCAGTCACGCTGTCGACATGGGCCGGAGGCTGGGCCGGCGCGCCACCCGCCCCCTGGTGGTGGTGCCTGTGAGCCCAGACTGCCTGCCCCACCCCCAGCCACCGCCTTGTGAGGCCTGTGGGGGACAGAGCGGCCACATGGACACCAGAGCCAAGGGCTGTGTGGTTTGTGTGTGGGGGGGGTATATGTGATGTGTGGTACGTGTGTGTAGTGTGTGTGTGTGTGGTGTGTGTGGTGGGTGGGTATGGTGTATGTATGGTGTGTATGTGGTGTATGTGGTGTGTGGTGTGTATGTGCTATGTGGTATGTGTGTGTGGTATGTGTGGTATGTATATGTGTGTTTGGGGTGTGTGGGGTGTGTGTGTGTGTGTGTGGTGTGTATGGTATGTGTGGTGTGTGTGGTACGTGTATGTGGTGTGTTTGTGTGGTGTGTGTGGTATGTGTGGTACATGTATGTGGTATGTGTGTGTGGTATGTGTGGTGTGTGTTTGGTGTGTATGGTATGTGTGTGGTACGTGTATGTGGTATGTATGTGGTGTGTGTGGTGTGTGTGGTATATGTGGTGTGTGTGGTGTGTGTATGTGGTGTGTGTGGTGTGTGTGTGTGATGGGTGTATGGTGTGTGTGGTGTATGTGGTGTGTGTGTGTGTGTGTTTGGGGTGTGTGTGTGGTGGGTGGGTGTGGTGTGTGTGGTGTGTGTATGTGGTGTGTGTGGTGTGTGTGTGGTGTGTGTATGTGGTGTGTGTGGTATGTGTATGGTACATGTATGTGGTGGGTGTGGTGTGTGTGTGGTGTGTGTGGTGTATGTGGTGTGTGTGTGTTTGGGGTGTGTGTGTGGTGTGTGT